TTATTTTAAGCACTTCAAAAGTGTCTTATTCTGGTCTAGACCTCGTAATATTTGCGTATACAATATAGTAATATCTAATAGATATATTATGACATGGCACACAATACAGTGTGCACTAACGCAGTCAGAAGAACAAAGGTTTTTTTGTTTTTTTAAACATATTTATAACAGAAAAAAAGGAGTTTTATGTTTGTCTGTATTAATAAATTAAATTTTAACAAGTTTCATCTATACATATAATAAAATTGTAACCGAGCCGAATCTGTACTTTAAATATTTTTTGGAAAATCTTATTGAAATAAACATTATTATCAATACAGAGTCCGAATCTATAGTTTTTAGAATTTTTGTCTGTCTGTCTGTTACCGCATCACAGAAAAACTACTGGAGGGATTTTGATAAAATTTGGTATGATGATAACTGGCTATCCGGGTCAACATATAGAATAATTTTTATTGCGGGAAAATATGTCATCTCTGAGAAAAAATACAAAAACTGCAATGTAAGAGTATACCTAAGACTTTGGTTTTCGGTCATTTGAACGCGGGCGGAGCCGCGGGCAATGCTTAGTATATTATATGCATATGTGATTAATTTTTACATGAAATATACATTTTAGTCTTTTACTAGGTATTCTAAAAACAGTATACGGTGCAATACATAACCGTAACTCCAGTTGGTCATCATTTGCGGTTCGCAAACTTTTATAGTCTATCTCAATATAGAGTGTTTTGTAATGCTCGTAAATAAAATAACGTAAGTGTAAACAATAACTAAATTCATATTGGTCGTTGAAAGTTCCGATCCATTGATAGTAAATTTTAAAAAACGTTTTGATATATGGAATATGGATATAAATAAATATAACATTTTATTTTATTTTTTTCACCCGCTGCTCAGCTTGAATGGTAAGCGGGGTTGGGATAGATAATAGAAAATATTCGTACGTATGATGAATGGCTAATCTATTTCTTAGGAAAATATTATCGAAATCTGGTCAGCGGTTTAATCGTGAAAGTAAAAAGCATATAGAGATACTTTCACACATACATATAATATAAGTGTGCAGTAATAATGTCCTCCCTATCGATTTCAGCCACAGCGGCCAATCTCATTGAGACTAGCCGCATGAGGTATTATAATGCACAAGTGCACTCTCTTTTCCTTTTCCTCTTAAAGTCCGATGGGATCATCCACGGGACGGAATGACGGTTTTACCTGCTCTCCGAGGGAAGGGGGTGAAACACCGCCAACTTCACAACTACTGAGAATATCCTAACAGAAAAACTAAGTAATTAAACTTGGCCCGACACGGGACTCGAACCCAGGACCTCCGGATCTCGTTATACATGCTAACCACTAGACCACCAAGGTAGTTATATAGTCTATATAGATATATTAAATGTAGATATCAATGAATTAATATGCTTATTACTTTATTAAGTCCATTGTTATGGCGCCATTCTCTTCAATCTCTTAAGTGGGTAAGATACTTAATTAACTCGCATTAAATAATAATATTATTGTATCTATATAACGTATTGCTAGTATCTACTTCCTATTCACGACTGATTAGTTCGCTACCAAATGAGATCTCGTTGTGATTTATATGGTAGATATAGGATTAGAAGCTCGAGCCTTTGAATCTGCAGGACTGAATGAAATCTCAGCTATATCTAAATTCGGATTATTTATTATTGTATAATGTACAATCTAAATGTCCATAAATACATTCATTTCAAAACTTGTTTTGTCATAAAAAAAATCTTTATTTATTTCGTCATGAAAAATATATGATAAGAAAAATCTTTCTATTTTAAGGTTCCGTACCCGAAGGGTGTCAATGGAATCCTATTACTAAGCCTCCGCTGCCCGTCCTTCCGTCTGTCTGAGGGCTGTATCTCATGAAACGTAATAGGTAGATAATTGACGGATGAATTTTCACGGAATATGTATTTCTATTGCCGCTATAACAAGAAATAATAAAAATAAACCAAAAATAAAAATATAAGAAACATTTTTTTAACGTTCGTACCTAATCGACATTAAAGTTAATGTACAAAATAAATATCATAGTAATAAAAAGTACATGTACGATGGTACAGAACCTTTCATGTGCGAATTCGACTCGCACTTGACCGATTTTTTTTGTACATGTTTAAATTTTTGCTTGCAGTTCTACTTAGGATATGAGCTGTCTCCTTTCTCATCAACACTTGTTAACCTTAAGCCTGTTATGGCATAAAGAAGTAACAAACACACGCAGACTGTCATATTTATAGAGTTAGCGTCATTAGAATAAGATACATATAGATATATACGTAAAGATAAAAAACTTTATTTTATATACGTATAGATAACTCCATTGAAATATCTCAATATATGCAATATACTTACATATTGATTTTGTATGAACTCTATTATTTATCAGTTTATCATTCAAGAGTTTCGTGTAATGAACCGAATAACCAAACACTAGAGAAATGATAGCACCACTCAATAAAAACGATAACGTTTCAACAAAACATAAAAGAATGTAATAAAAATGTTTAAACACGTTCAAATTGAATTTTGTTTTTTAATTTACTTCATTAGTAATTACACAATATTTTCTTGAATTTTTTGGTTTCAGTGTAATATTAATTCCTGAAAATACGATTGCAATGAACTGAGATGAAGATTTACTAGTCCGGTCTAGTTAGCCCGAAAAATAGGGGTACCCTTGCTTTAATTCCCAAGAAGCTGAATATTTACATGAACGTTAGGGATAACATTATAATGAAATATATAAGTGAAAAGTCCCCATCGATTCCGTGGGTGCAAAAAAATATTATGCATAGTCAAAGTTCACGAAAATGGTTTTTTTAGATTTTTCTGCGAAACGGTAAATTTTATGATAAAAATAGTTCAGACAAAAATTGTAAATTTTCCTAAAATTCACAATTTCTGAGAAAAAAGAATTCTAAAATGTACTAAAGTTGGATTCTCCATAATATGCACACGTTTCTACGCAACGTATGAGGTAGAGCGTTGGTACTTGGGTAGTACTTGGTGCGTTTTTTTTTAATTAGTATAATAAAGCAGTAACTTAGCGAAATATGTACATGAAATATTTTTTAGAAACAACGACTAACATATTATGTATACAATAGACCCCAAAATAATAGTTATTAACATTTTTGTGTGTTGTCTGTTTGTGTGTGCGCGTTTTTGCATAAAATTGCATAAAAAATTTTGCACAAATGAGATCGATGGGGACTTTTCACAATTTCATTATAATGGTATCCACAACGTTCATATAAATTTTCAGCTTCTTGGAAATTTATGCAAGGGTGAATGTCTACTTTGACCGGACTACACAATGACAGTTCGGAAACACAAAACGAACAAACAACGAACAAAAAAAATTATAATACTCGTAAGAATATTATTTATCTATAGAAAGGAATATTTCTATTTGTATGTATTTACAATTAATATTTTTTTCATTAGTAATTTATATACATAAACATACAATTAACGTTCTTATATACAAATGTACTGATCTGATCTGGACAAAAGGCCATATTGGACATTGGCACACAAATCTCAATCTCGATGGTCAGCATAGAGAATAAACATAATTTTCTTACTCATCAAAATATTTTGAATTCATATACTGTTTTTTTAGACTTACATGAATATTTGACATTTAAAAAAAATTATTCGGATTTTTGACGGTTTTATTTTGATTTTTAGCATCCGATATTTCAAATGATTTACGGTCACGAGAGAGACTATATATAAGAATACATTATTTAAAAAAAACTGGCAATAAAATCACAAACCTCTTTCAACTTCACGTCGAAAGGGAACTATAACTAACTAGAGAATATGGTAGATTAGCTATGGAACCTAAGAGTTGTGAAGGAAGGAGATGGGTATATTATGTATATAGACACAGGAATAAGTATAACATCATGATGTCCCATCCCTGTCGGCTTATGCCATAATTGTCAGACTGGGGATTGTTTAGCACCGGCGAATTGGAGCTTAACAACTGTTTTGGGTTTTTTATTGTCTTGATTATCAGTGTCATATTATATTATTTTGTGAAGTACTGTGCTAGTGAACATAATAAATTTGTAAAATAACGTGAAAAGATTCTACACTGCAGTATTTAGGATGTAAAAGCGAGAATGCTAAAAAACTGAAAAACATAACCTATCATCGATAAGTTGCTTAATACATTAAAATTTAGGTTTACTAATTACCCTTTATGATATAGAGTTTTTACTATCGTTTTAGCTATTAACTCGTATAGAATTAGATTAATTACATACATAATTCTTATCGTCTGTCTTGCTCACGTATACGTTGATAGCTTGTCTATAGATACACTGTTTACGAAAGGGAATCGATACAATTTTTTGTATATAGATAGTTAAAGGGCTGGAAAATAATATAAGATAATTTGATCGCAGAAAAAATACCACTTTCACTCGGGAAAAGACGTTATAATAAAACTCATACATAGACATGCAAGCGAGTGTGCGCCATTTGTATAAATTCAATTTAAATTATGGCCTAAAATAAGAGATATTTATCCTATATATAATTTTAAATAGCCAAAATTGTTTTATTAAACATTTACCCCATTGATCAAAAAAGTACTAGATACACAATCAGCGACAAAAATGTCCTCACCGAATGAGCTCTCATTTGAATATTTGAGCGCGCTTTTAATTTAAACTTTTTTCTTAAAACAACTTAAAGAATTGCATTTAAGGTTTAATTTATTTAATTTACATTGTTGTATATTTGTTTCAGCCGGATCTTGATCTATAATATTTTATTAGATTTTCAATCATAACTTTGCATTCGAATAAATGTTTTGCTTTTTAAAATTATCTACTATTTGTACACTTATTATATCTTTTCCCAGGTGAAAAATAATCGTAATAATAACGATGTAAAATTAACCTTATAACAAACTAATTAAATTATATTTTTGCTTACAGCTGATCGTGTATCCGACGCGGCCTGGATTACAAACAATGGGAGCCCTCGTCACAATGTTCTTTATATGGGTCACAGCATTTGCCCTGGCATCTCCTCTATACATATTCAGAAATTTAAAAACCCATAAGTTTGGTCTTTTAGGAATGGATTCCTTAAGTTTCTGCATAGAAGACTGGCCAATTGACAATGGCAGAGCTATATACTCGGTATTTAGTTTGATCTTTCAATATCTCGTTCCAGTTCTAGTAGTTGTAATCGCACATGTCCAAATTCACAAAAGACTGCGAGGAAGGAGACGAACTACGAGAAAAACTCCTGCAATACTAATAGCTATAGCTGCTACTTATGTGATAAGTTGGTTTCCTTTGAATGTATTTAATCTTGTAGCAGATTTCAGTACAGAGGATCTTTTAGATGAGAAAGCTATGACTATAACGTATGCAATATGCCATATGTTTGGAATGTCTAGTGCTGTATCAAATCCTTTGCTTTACGGGTGGTTGAATGACAACTTCAGAAAGGAGTTTGAGGAAATCCTCTGCTGTTGTAGACTTAAGAATCAAAAAAATAAAAATATGAGGATCAAAAATAGAAAAATGGACACTGAATTAACTGCGCTTGCGCAACTCGAACACACAGTGACAGCGAATACGAAGACCTCTCAATGCTCCCAGATTTTCTGACTAAAAACATGCTTTAAATAGCAGGAGGCATGTGAAATTCAAAGTATCTGAACTCTGTCAATTCGAATAAGTATAGTTTTGTACAGTTAACGGTGTAAAAAGTTCCTGTATTGGTATCGTTTCGTCTCTTGTTAATAATAATTGTGTAGTTCGTTCGTGTAGTGTAAATAAATATATCATAGATCTTCTTTATTTCTTAAACATTGGCAATTCACGTTTTTTTGAGCCCAAAACGTAAATCGCCGAATACGAAAAAATGTGATTTAAGTGACATAATTGTAAATTTTTTGAATAAATAATTTTACGAAGATCTTTTTATTTTACATCCTTTTTGATTATCAGACTATCATTTTAAATGAGTCAGTTAGTATGTGTGTAATGTGTATGTATGATTGTTACTCGTTCACGCTCAAATAGCTAAACGGATTTGTATAAAATAAGTACATAATATATATTAAGAGTTAGTAATAAAAATCGCCAAAAGATGTCGCTGTCTAATTTTGTAATTTTTAATTATATTATATGTATTCATAAAACTTCACTACTGCTAACAATTTTACGCGCCAGTGTAGTTTTTAGTAGGTACTCCGCAACGATTAAATATGCCTTATATATGATTTGTTTAGATGTGCGAAGAAATAGCCCTATATTTTCGCACATACTCGACCGTTTTTGACTCAGGCCACAACCTACAAAAAACATTTTAAAGTCCTCGTACCCCACTATACAACAATTAAAAAGTAATAGGCAGATAAACAGATTAATAAAAAAAAATACGTATAAAAACTATACATATTTTGACTAATACATCTCAATTAATATTCCCAATATACCTTTCTTCTTCTCTATTACCTATATTTGTTTTCAAAGTATTATAAATAATCGTACTGAGATATGCAGCAGTGAACGCTGTCCAAATGTCAGTCAATATGTAATTTTACCAAATATCTTATTATCTAATCATAATTATTCTTAAACTAAAAAGGTGTTTTTTTAAATTAAACTTGAAAATGTTTTTTTTCATTTATACCACCAATAAAGTACCTTTAAAATATTCCTTAAAAAAATTAAGGATTCTAAACTAAAATTATAAATGTGAAAGAAACTGTCTGTTATTTTTTCATGCTAAAACTGCTGAACAGATTTTAATAAAATATCCAAGGACATAGATTGCATCCTGGGATCGGATATATGCTACACTTGATTCAATTGGCCAAAAACTAGTCGGTTCACAATTAGCAAAAATGTTATAAAACATACAAGTGATTTAAGTTAGTTCTCTTTTCAACCGACTTCTTCAAAAAGGAGGATCTCAATTCGTCGGAATCTTTTTTTATGTATGTTCACTGATTACTCGAAAACACTGAAAAATTACTCTTCTGTTTCAAAGGGTATACAAATTACCTGCTTATTACGTCTACACTAAAAATGGAAAAATAAAATCTTTAAAAAACCCGACTTCCAGGCGCTAAAAAGTAATGAAAACCACCGTTTAGTTATCTTTTACTTTTTAGTCCCTGGAAATCGTTTTTTTTTTAGTTTTTTCATATAATTTAGTTAATCAGTCAATAATTTACTTATTTTTATTTAACTAAAATAATACCTATACCTATTCTTACAAACCAACTAAAATAGAACCTCCGCCTATTTTAAAATCGTTTAAAAAGAAAAGCATATTATCTCAAACATCTTATATGAGAATAAAGAAAACATAATTGATTAATTTGAAATACTCTAATCTTAATAGTTATAGTCTATAATCTGGCTATTAATTATAGTTTATTAGTAATATACCTACTTGGTTTAATGTGTTCTAAATTTATTCTTGAAATGTATATATTATCAAAAAATACTATACGTTTTTGTTCATTTTGTAAGTTTTTAATCATAATATTTTTTATATAAAGTTAAAGTGTATTAGAAGTTTTAATCTATGATCCTATGTGCTCATCCATCATCATTTATTCATTCGATTTTGATGAAACTTTAGTGATACCACGCATACATATAAAGGTGTATGATTTTAATAATATAGAATTATTAAAATGATCTATGTTAATGGTTATGAAAATCACTATAGAAAAATATAATGATCGATTTACTACTAGCCTTCATACATACAAGTGGGCTCGCAGTTCCTGTACACTCTCTTAGCCAGGGGAATCGCTACCGACACGACAAGCGAAAGATCAGGGTGTAGCACCGTCGATTGTATGTGTTACTAAGATTTTCTTGATAAATTAATTCTTGACCCAACCCGGGACTCGAATCCAGAACCTCAAAATCCAAAAAAGGCCAGATATGCCAGCTGCTAAATCAATGAGACGGTAAATGACTACGTTGGCAAGTATTTTAATATGTATCATCTATCTATACATTTATTATAGGTAATAAAATTATAACTAAGTCGAATCTGCACATTAAATATTTTTTGAAAAATCTTATAAAAATAGTCATTATTATAGATACGGAGGCCTAATCTATACTTTTTAACATTTTTGTTTGTCTGTATGTATGGGAACACATCACGGGAAAACCACTGGACAGATTTTGATTTATGATGATAGCTGGTTATCCAGGTCAACATATAGGATACTTTTTACTGCGGAAAAATATCTCATCTCTGAGAAATCTATACTAACCTTTAAAACGTATCTAGGGATGAACCGGACGGATCGAGGGTGAGCCGTTAGTTAGTGAGATATAAATTAGTTTAAATTACACTGTGACTAAAAGAAATACCACATAATAAAGAAACGATAGAAAAAAAAACATAACTAGTAGATAGATATCTTTTATCGAGTTTTACCATTAACTTTTATCATTAAGTCAGTTGAGTAGATTTAAAGTTATATACATAATATATTTTAAGGATTCCGTACTTGTAAAGACAAAAGGCACCCTTAAATCAAATGAACCTATATATGAAGGATATCACGTTGTTATAAATATCAAATACGGTTCCTTGGAGTTGTAAAAAAATCATACATCTAAGTCAACTCAATTAAAAACACGGCCGTTTAACTATTTGTATATTTTGTCACTCGCAAGCAAATCATAACTTATAGTAGGATAATTTTCGTTGATCTAAAGTCATTAAAGGCACGAAGCAAGGTTATACAGCACTAGTAAGGAAAAAATCGTTTCAATAGCGGTTTTTTTTTAAGATTTTTAATACAAACTTATTTATGCCTTCAATAAAATATTATAATGCTCATATAACGTACATACGATGGTTAAATATTTTACTTTATTTTTAACGTAGTAGCAAAATATGTATCTTGAAACATTAAAAAATTGTGTTTCATGCTACAGAATCCAATTGTTCGAGCTTGACTTGCACTTGGACTTCTTTTTTGTTGTGATCTCAAATAAAGCGTAGTTCATAAATGCCTAGCGGCTGTTGGGAAGTCCACGTAACCGTTGCCGTAGGCCCCATTAACTTTGAAATAAAATAGAGAAAAAATTACAATATCTTCTATGGTTCATAAAAAATATAATATAAAACTGAATGTTCATAGGAACTTTGTTTTAAATTGTTTTATCAAAAAATGAATCTATTTTTATCTTAAAACGAAGTACCTACTTAAAATCATGTAACATAGATTTCGCTTAGTTAATAATAATATTGATTTTACTCAACCGTTTTGTTTCTCTCGTCTTGATTAGGCAAAAACAATGCTTTCTTAGATTTACGCAAATATTTTACATCTATATAAATAAAAATGAATGTTAGTATGTTTGTCCTCTATGTGTTCATAAACCAATGATCAGATTGTGGTTAAACTCTGATGAGTTATTCTGTATATGCCTGTGAAGGTTCTGCTGAATTTTTCTTTGGACATTTGACTTTTATGTGTTTTTTTAAACCTTTCAAGCTTAAGTCACTAGTTTTAAATAAAACCAACCTTTTTATTTTTAGCTATTACACTACTGTCTGTAATGACTATAATATATGAACTTTTGAGAGATCTGCACGACACGTTTGTCACAGTTTGTAGTGATCCTACTTGCTGTGCCAGCGGTCGCGGATTCGAGTCCCGCTGGGGGCATTCATTTGAGTGATGAGCACGAATGTTTGTACTCTAGTCATGGGTGTTTATATTTATAATATGTATGTATTTAAAGTTATATATGTGTAGTGTATCAACTATCTGGTATCCATAACACAGGCCTCGTAGCTTACCATGGAACTAGGTGGTGCCGTGTGTTAATGTCACAACTAATAATAAAAAAAAACCTGCTTAGTCTGTCCAGGGAAGGTCACTATAACCTTTGTAGAGAAGAATAATAAACAAACATATATAATAATAGACATAGCAATATTAGATATTCAGCGTATACATAGCGCTGTTTACCCGTACTCTTGCTTATCTTCTTGATCGTCTGGCGAGTTAAAAAAGTCCACTAAATTATTTGTCTTTTCGTAATTATTAATTTTTAATTACCTATTTTATGCTGTTAAAATCACAGTGTGCCTAAAATACATTTTTTGGAATTTATCAAAAAATAAATAACTTTGGAAATGCCTGGCCAAACTTTTTAACCGGTTAAATGATCTGGCTTTATCATTTTTAAACTTTTTGATAATAAAATGAAAGAACACAAAAGTTCGAAAATGCCTAAAAAAATTTTTTTTGGATAAAAATTTGAATACTTTGAAAATTTAAGGGTGGCAAAGCAACCACTACCCTTCAGCCAGACTTGCACTTTTATACCTGCCTATGAATAAAGAAGTGATGTTAAAATTCTCATTTTTCCTAAAATGCCAGCCAGCTCTCGGACTAAAGGTAGGGAAAAAACTCGTTTCACAGGATTTTCAGAAATGAAATTTCGCAACTAAAACGAATAATCTCCATACCGCCAAAAAGGTATTTCGTACATGTAGCGGTATGCGAATATTAGACTAAAAATGATTAGGCGGGCAAAAATGAAAGAGCTTCTCTGCCAGTACAATATGCAGTTATTATTTATTTGTTGGATGTGGTGCCGAGGTC